CTTTTATTATATTAAAAATTAAAACGCAGCCTCCTCTGCTTCATGATTATTCCCAGTCCTCGCATGCAATGCATCACACAGACCAAATACCAACGGTAACGCCTCTGCATTCATTTGCACAGAAAAAACAGAAAAAAGAAATCAAATCATTCCATTTATATGGCGCCATTCCAATAGTCACTGCTCATGGCGCAGTGGACTAGATGTTTTCACTTTTCAATAAATTTCTCATCCCCTGCAACCGGTAAACCGGCATACTTTCATCTGTCCAAATCAAACAAATTCAACATACTGTAGAATATACATATCCTATCACTTAACACTCTGCCCGCCAAACACGGAGATCTCAGTGTTTTAGGTTTTTTTACAAAATCTGATCGATGGGGTAATTACTGATGTGTCCTGACAATTTAAACACTATATTCAGTCTGGACCGTAAGTATTCCACTATTTGAAGCTATCCAATCTAATAAGAAACCAGAACCCTGCGGGTGCGTACGTTCCTTTGTACGTAAAAAATCAATGTACATTTGTGAATTGCAATAACTTGATTGTATCTTTTTGAATAATGATTGTGTAAGGTAATACAGTATTTTCATTTTGAGTTAAAAAAAATCAGAGGCGGATCAAGAAATTTATGAAAGGGGGAGGGGGTAAGGGGTTCTGAGAAGTGCAGGGATGTCGTTATGCAGGGCGGACGTGGGCGGCGCCGCCCACTCTTGACGTCTTGCGCCCATCCTAAAGCTATTTTTAAGGCCTTCTGCCCAGCCTCATACAAATTCTCCCGCACCCCCCCCCCACCACCTCAAAATCATGAAGAAACACAAGTTTTTGCTCCATAAACCGTATTTTCCGGTGAATAAGCCGCAAATTTAATACGCAATTTCCCCCTCCAAGTTTGGGGTGCGGCCTATATAATACACCAGTCGTTAATCTACTCCCAAAAAGTTCAGATCGCGAACCGCAGCGAAAATCAGGCGCCGTCTGTCTAGCTTGGGCCCATGCTCCTAGCCCAATTAATTAGCCTAGCCTTTGTTGAAAGGCTAGTATTTGTAATTATACTCACTATACAGTGCTGTACTGTGATTCCTACTACATTTTCTACGACAATCAAGCAATGGTTTGGGTTGGTTAAATAATTATTTTCATAGTTACTTTCACTCAAAAAATTTTGAAACACGTTTTATTCGAAATCGCTTCGCTCAAAACAATAAATAACCTTCTTTTCGGGAGTGTGGTCCTAGAGGTCACGTGAGCAGCTTCATTTATGATGTCGCAACAAAACACACGTGGGCTGTTGAAACTTTCTGTTCGACGTCTGGTTCCCGGTGGCTTGTACCGTTATAGAAAGAATACTGATACCGCTATATTTCAGAATAAAAACTTGTGAAATTAATTTATGCAATAAAAACACGAGTTTTCTTGAAGTTGTAATAATTATTTTACTGGAAATTAATTGAAGAAAGGCATACATTCGTCCGTCTATCACATGCCTCCATCACATGCTGTATATGTATATAGACGGTCAGTCCATCACATGCTGTAAATTTATGTGTCCATAATTTAAAGGTTTTCCGCCACCCGATACTGTCCATCAGGTGCTGTATTTTCCAACCATTATTTTCCCAAACATCATTTGATGAACCTATGCTGTAAATTTATGTGTCCATAATTTTAAGGTTCTCCACCACACGGGACTGTCCATCAGATACATGCCACCATCACATGCTGTATATGTGTATAGACGGTCAGTCCATCACATGCTGTAAGTTTATGTGTCCATAATTTTAAGGTTTTCCCCCACCCGTGACTGTCCATCAGATGCTGTATTTTCTAACCATTATTTTCCCAAACATCATTTGATGAAGCTATGCTGTAAATTTGTGTGTCCATAATTTTAAGGTTCTCCCCTACCCGGGCCTGTCGATCAGATGCTGTATTTTCTGACCATTATTTTCCCAAACATCATTTGATGAACTCCCGTCCCCCCGCCTACCCTTAGGTTCGTCTGTCCATCACATGCTGCCCCGGCCAACCCTTAGGTTCGTCCGTCCATCACATGCTGCATACTTATGTGTCCAGAATTTTTAACCATCATTTCTTGAAAAACAATTCCACAAATTTTGATTTTTATTGCTTGACGGTAGGCTGGTGGTAGGCCAAGAAACCTACTTCACGTAGGCCTAACGGTATAGTATATCAGATGTGTCTAGGCCTACACCAGGTCCGACGGTTCGCCCAAAGAGAAGCCTACATTACGTATGTGTCTAGGCTAGGCCTAGGTACACCAGGTCTGTCAATCTTAGCCGTTAAAGTATACTGAAACACTAATAAAACACACAGAACACCTTCAAATAATAGCACAAGTAAGTGGCCGATATGCCACAACTATCTCAGTTTGCTCAATGTTTACTGACAGGCGCGAAAACAACATAAAAACTTTTCTAGGCAGCTCGCTAAGGAAACAAAATGTCGGGAAAGTTTGACCCGACGCATGTGCAAATCAAATTTCCGACTAAAAAACGACTCAAAACTGGTGGTAGGGGTACATGATTTATCGCCTACAGCTTACATTTTTCATCTAACCGAAAAAAACAAACACTTCTTGCACAATTGCATGTCCACCAGCAACTATCGAGCACAATGTATACCTGCCGCTATGCACTGTTTCGGAGCCTATTTGTTTACAAATATGCTGACCTCTTTTGGTGTCACATCTCATACACACATTTTACATGTGAACCATTACATTAGTTCCATGTGACCTAAGGTCACAAAGGAACTAAAAAGGTTGAATTAGTGCCACAGTGGGGTTGGGAACCTAATCCCATGGCTAGGCCTAGTGGCATTATTTTTTTCCCATACATTTAAGGCAGAAATTACAAAGGACGCTATCTATGTCAGTTATGTGTGTTGGAAATTGTTGGGAATGGGTTTCTTACACTTGTGGTTTTCGTTTATCTTGGGTTTTGTTAAAATAACGGATTATTGTTACATGTTTAATGGGTATTAATATTATTATTATTATTATTATTATTATTAATGTAATGCATTATCCTAATATTATTTATGTTACTATTATTATTATTATTATTATTGCTCAGTGGTAGTCACAGTGCTATTGTTCATTAGTGCAGTGCGTTCAGCTAATTTACATTCAGTTGTTCAGTCAAATACTGTGCATCTTCACTATAAAGGGTTTTCACTGTGTTTGATGGTCACACCTTAGTAATGCTATGCTGGCCTAAGACGTTGCCTCTGCTAGAGGGGAATATAATGTACCCAGCGTTAGCTTATAATGGAAATGCCACATAAAGTTGCTACATGTAAGTTATTCCTATTGTATCTATATATGCTTCTTTGGAAACGTAATTTGATGTTTTTGGTTTTATTCGTGGGTTGGTTTTGTTTGCTTATAGATCTCGTAGCTCTCGAGGTTGGGATTGGAATTTGACTAGAAAACTGGTTGATACAAGTGGGAGTTATTGCCTACGTAGTACTCATGGTTGCGGCAAGGGATGTGACATTCATGCTGATAAACTATGGACTATGGAAATGATTATTGTACTTATGGTTTCCAATGTGATGTAATGTTTAAATTTCAGGTTGTGTTTTAGAGTTGACACTAGATAAGGTTGAGCTCAGAGATTTATGTTAGTGGAATTGTATGTAATGTTGTATGGAATTGGAAGTTATAACACATGACTATAGATGAGATTGTGCTTGCAATTTCATGTGGCGAATATGTTGGGCCCATTGTTAAACGTATGTGATTAAATTAATTTGTGAAGATTTTGACACCGTTTGAGTTGTGATATTTCGTTATGTCTCCTAGTATATTAATGTACATAATCATGCATGCCAACTTCCCCTCGCGATTCGCAAAAGCCGTGTTCGCTGCTTGTGAAATATGAAATTATATAAAATTTTATTACATAATTAGTATGTATATGCATCGGGATACATCGGCAAATTCTGTGGTGTAGAAGTCCTACACGGTTTTATACTAGCAATTCAAAATATTTACAATTACCGTTTTAAAAAGAAGCCCCCTTTTCAATTTGCAAAAGTAATCTCAAAAAGAAGCCCATCTCAGGCTACGTTCAAACTTGACTTAAGCCCGGCTCAATGTTAAGCCTGGCTTAACATTGCCGGGCATTCAGACTAGCGGGATTAGCCAGGCGCGGGAATTAGCATAATGAACCGTAACCAGGAAACGAGTTGGGAAACATTGGGCTCGAAACGTATGCTCGCTCACAGCGTATGTAACTCAATGCTGATTGGTCATTTTTTTTCCCGGAAGTCAATGCAAGACCCCCCGTAGCGATTAAAGCCCAGCTTAGAAAAGTTAAACACGGTGGCATGCCAGGCCTAGTTACTATAGGAACACAGCCCAGCTTGAGATAAGCCACCTAGTTCAGACTGGCACGTGGATAAACCCGGTGAGTTGAGCTGGGTTTATCCACCTAGTCTGAACTAGGCCTCTGAAAAGTAGCCCATCTTGAAAAGAAGCCCATCCAGGGGTACTAAAAAAAGCCCATGGTTCTTTTATTTGATGCACTAAATGCACTAAATATGACTTATGTATAAATTCATTAAAAGAAAGTATATATTTACCTTCGGAGAGTCACTACATTTCCCTTTGGCATGCATCTTTTCCATCAAATTGAACACAATCAGATATACTGCCTTGCTTGTTAGGAAAATCTAAAAGATTAAAGGAAAATTCACCCATAAGTGGACACACAGACTGACCTAATTTAATAATTGGTATGACTTACATTCTGCATCGATTTCATGGTAATGTTAATATACTTGAAGCGTATAATACAAAATCGGGGGTGCCAAGTTTCCCAGAACTTGCGAGAGTCTCCCAGGAATCAAGCAAGGATCTCCCAGAAATTAACCCAAATCCGGCAAATTTATAATGTGTGCACATTTTCACTTTATTATCAATTGTCTCAAGAAAGTCCATGCCAATGTGTATCACAATGTGCTGCAAAATAAAATCAACCAGATCAGAGGCAGGTTCAAGTGGAAAAATAATTTTTTAAAAAAATGGAGAGTAAAAGATAATAATATTCAAATTTCAGCCTGAGAGTGCATTTCAGGCCATCTAGAGGTGCTGTAATCATGAACTTTCTTACCTCAGCCCAAACCATGGTGGGGATGAGATAATAATTATAGACCGTACATCTGTAAAAGTCCCTCTCTGCCCCCACACCCTTTGCGAATTCTCCGATTCATCACTGCAGATTTCCCGGACAAGGTGGCGCCGAGTGTGTCCGAGGCCCCCAACGAGACGAAAGGGCCAATGTCCCCGATGGTAGGAAAGTTGGGTGGTTGGGAGTTTCACAATATATTTTGAGTGTGTTCCAGAGTGAAAAGCCCCTGAGAAGTTAATTTACTTGATTTTACAGTCAACTAATATGCAATACATATATTTTTTTTTCTCGCAATGCGGGGAATGCCCCGCCACCCCACCCCTTTCACCAGTAAGCAATCCTCCCGGAATTGACTTCTTTCAGCTTGGGACCCCTGCGAAAGTCTATATGCGCTAAGAAACCACAGCAACCCAAGTGCACAAAAACAAGGAAGAATTAAAAAAAAAACAAAGAAAATGGATCATGTTCAGAATTAATAAAAAGATGGAATTTGAGCCGAGATTTGAAGACAGTTTAGCTTGGAGACTCAAACACTGTCTTAAGTGGTTTGGTTTCAAAGCGTTGGAGCAGCACCAATAAAAAAACGATCGTCACAAGTTTTAAGGTGACCAATAGAACAGTTAAGGATGGTAGATGAAGATGAGGTAGACTTAGCTAAAACTGCAGATGCAAATAGCAGAACGTTGTGAAATTCGATTGGGAGATAGTGGTATACAAATATCAAGTGAATTCGCAGATGAATAGGTAACCAAAGGAAACGATGTACAGTTGCAAATGCTTGGGAGTGTTTTTAATTCTGTTAATATCAAATTTACAATATAAAAAATGAGTGCTGGCAACAGCACCTTATCTCTGAGTGCCTATCCCAGAGCATCCTAATCAATAAATTGTTGAATAATGAAATTATTATTTGGCAGGGGCGGATCCAGAGATGTACGAAAAGCGGGGGCTGATTGAGAGACACTACCCTAGGAGCCCGGGGTATGCTCCCGCAAAATTGTTGTATTCTAGACGCCCGGAAATGACCTCTGAGGCATTTTGGGAGATCAATAATTTCTTTTTCTTTATTTTTTTTCAGGCCAATTTGTATACAAAGCTCCCACCACCAACCCTGCTCGAACCAACAGCACAACATGCACTCCATATGTCCCTCAAGTTCCAGAAGGCTGCAACTTGTTGAAATACCTCAACATGGCAGATTATAATCTTCATAATAAGCAAATCCATGTTCTAACAGCAAAGGGAAAATTGGGAACAGTTTACATAACTTTTGTTGCATTATATGCCTACATCAGACAAACTATTGCTTTCAAGGTCAGCTCCTGAAAAGAAACTGGCTGACATAGCATCCAGGTACGTGTTAACAAATCACACAAAAGTAATGCCAAATACTTACTCGATGTGTAATATAATATAGCTGCTGGCCAGCAAAGTCCCAAATATAAGCAATATCTTTATTTTCAATCACGCATGTTTCTCCAGTCATTATGTTAACAATTCTCTTTCGAGTTTGCGGTGAAAGTGCTGTAGGTGATATTTTGACATCAACCGCTGTCTGATTCACTGATATATATATATATATATAAATAAAAATTGTTTATTATAAAATTGTAAAGATTGTTTAAATATTTAATCATCAACACAGCAATAATTATTATGTTAATGATGATGAAATATGTCAAACATCATCACCATCATCTGCATCTTCATGCTCACAAAGTTTAATGAAGATACAGAGTGTGGATGTCGGTGATGGTGAATTCGATGCTGAATATTTGATTATTCATTGACTTGCTGTTTGAACTGTGCAGTGTGGTAGGCGCTGAATTACGACTATTCAGAATTGCTGCTGTTGCGGTGTCAGTTGCGATGGCTGTTTTGGTGGCGGTTGGGGTGGTGGCAGTTGTGGTTTAGGTTAGATTTAATAAGTAAATAGACAATGAAGTAACATTTGGACTATCGTGAAACTACAGTAAACTTTTATAATCTACTATGCAGCAGGGTTCTTACCATCCCACCGGCACTGATAGGCTGCCGACCAGCATTGTTTTTTTCGTTTTTTCAATGATTTTGAAAACTTCAGAAACATAATTAACGAAATACTTCGCTATTAAAATAAAGGCTTTTAAATGTAAATGCCCTTTAAACATGAACGTCGTTCAGTGCAAGAAAATAACTTTAGAAGTACACGTTCCCATGGTTATGTTTATTGTTCATTAACTGGCTTGCACTGGATAGGGCCAAATATGTCCTTTCCTGCAGAACAAGTGTGCACGTCTCGAAAGTGATGAATTACCTAAAGTGAATTCACCGGGCTGAGTATGTGTGACAAGACCTGTTCAACTACAGTTTAAGCTTAATATTACTGTATATTACAACAAAAAGCAAATGAAAACACCATAGCAGATATCAAAAAAGTTAATGATATGTTTATCAATGTCTGAATTCAAAAATTACATGCAACATAATTAATATACAAGATTAAGAAAGCACCGCTTTACTAAAATATAGGCGAACAACTCCATTCATTGAATTGCACAAGTTTGTCTGAATCACTGCCAGCCATTCGGCAACTTTCAGCATTTGACATTCTTTCTGTCTTTGGTAACATTCCTGAATTGGCAACATACAAAGACTTGACCTGCTTTCTCCCAACCTACTTTGTAGGATTGTTTCTCATTTAATTTACAGTTACTAGGCAATATATCTGTTACTTTGAAATGTTTATAAAATTAGTGAATATATACAGTAAGATATTAAAAAAAAAAATTGGTAATCATGCATTTTATTTTTGGTGCATCCACAATGGAAAGTCATTGACCCAAATGTATGTCAAAATCCTGTTCGTCCGTTACATGGGAATAGGATTTGTAGTGTATTGAAATACAAACATGCATATTTCTTTTGAAAAGATAATTTAACTATCTTATAATACCCCTTTTCCAAAACATTGATATCATATGTTCTGTTCCACAGAGTTTAGCCAACTTGACCTGATTGTTTTTAGATAATTTTTAGTCTATTAAAATTTGTTGTGCATAATCAAATTGTAAATAATTAAAACAGACCACAATCAAAAAAATTACAAAATAATTATGTGCAAGAACCATGAAACTGTGAGAATATTTACCTTCAATTTTTTCCGATACAGTGTCTTCCGTTGGTATTACAACCTGTCAATTTTAAAAAGTAAATAATGAAAACCTGTGCATCATTTAAGGAATAAAAGTTTATATTACATAGCCTATGTAAATACGAGTACGTATTTACATATTGCGCCCGTAGAATGCTAGTCGAGCGCACGATCGATCGCTCACGAATTGTTAATGTGGAAGGGCTAGAGCTTCGAAAATGGCAAATAAGTTTAAATCTCTTGACGAAGATGAATTGGATAGAATTATTGACGAAAAAGATTCTCGGTGTACAAAATTTGTTGTGAATTCATCCGTTAATGTAGGCCCACTCAGTGAATATTGTAAGGCCGAGGAATCATCAAATTAGGCCTAGGCCTAGCCTACGTGCATTGAAAATTTCACAGCAACGGAGCTCAACGCGTTACGTTTCTCCGGTCATTCTACGCTGAGGTAAGGAGAGCAAACGGTGAATTGTAGGCTAAACGATCAATGATAACGCAACGCTACGGACTACAACAGAAACATTTTTAAAAAGTGACGGTAATATGAAGTATTTTGGCTATGTATTATGACAGATATTGTGTAAAAGTTAAATAAAAGTTCTTGATATTTAAAGTTATGTGTTCAGTTAAGTATTTGCATCTATTTTTGGCTATGTAATATAACAGATATTGCCTTTCTATCGGTGTAATAATAACATTTGATATCCCCTTGGGAATTATATTTTTTTCTCAGGACTATATTTTCCCTCAGCGCTAAGTGCTTCGGGAAAATATAGTCCTTCGAAAAAAATATAATTCCCTCGGGGATATCAAATGTTATATTACACCTCTAAGCAGGCAATATCTGTATAATATCATGAGTGTTGTGTTTCAACTTTGTGAACTGTTTTTGACGTGTTTCAACTTTGTGAACTGTTTTTGACGTGTTTCAACTTTGTGAACTGTTTTTGACATTTTATGTCAAAGAGGAATTCCTAATCATTTTCCTTGAAGGCCAATGAGTAATATGATTAAAACATGTTTTTATTATTGTAATCATTTATTTACTTATTGGTATATATTGTCTTTATGGTATGTAGCAACCCTAATTTGAAAATTATATGTTATACAAATACATTGCATCAAAACCATCTTGCAGTGTGATACCTCTTACATAAGGATTCAGGCCCGTATGCAGGGTGGGAGCGACGGGTGTGTATGCACCCCTAAATCACCAAAGGTCTACATTTTCAGGAGTATAAAATTCCAAACACACTCTCACACATTCCAGAAATCAATTCACTAAAACTCCTTGACCAATTTAGAACAGTTTCCAACTAGGACTGCATATTATTTGTCATACCAGCAATTTTAACTAACCCGGGCACCCATAATTTTTTGAAAGTTATAAAGAAAATGGAGAAAAAACAAAACATACTTCATAATCAAACATACTTCATAATCAAATTTAAGTCTTAGAGCTCCATTTCCGGCCATCTATAGGTGCCACAATCATAAATTTTCTTTTCCTCAACACCAACCATGGTGGGGTCGTGGCCGGTTGAGGTGGGTGACCTGGGCCTCTGTTTTTGCGAAAGTCCCTCACGGGACACCCCTTCTTTTTAAAATTTCAGAATCCGCCATGGACACATATGTTAAGGTTTCTCCCTGGCACAGTATTTACAATGATGTTACCGGAGTGACGTCAGAAAATGAGTCAGCTGTATTTACAATGATGTTACCGGACCGACGGTTGAACTGTCACTGGCTTGGTCCCATCCCCAAGTGTTATTTGATGAGGGTGACTATGAGGGCGCTATGTAGTACTTATTCTAAATATACCCTCACATACACCCCCCAGTTTACTATTGTTGTCCCCAACAATTTAAAAAAAACAATTAAGCAAATTGATACAATTAAAATATATAAAAGCATAAGATACATTAAGAAAATATTTGTCAATATAAGTTCATGATCAGTCCCTCAATGTCCAAATCTCACTGGTGGACGAATTATTTCGCGCAGATTGTACCTGTTCTCAAAATCTGACGAACTGTCTTCCGAAGAGCTATCTTCTGAACTGTACGTTGCAAATTCTGGCGGTGGAGGAATGAATGAAGTGAATTGTTCTGTCTCTTCCTCGCTTTCATCAAGGGTACTAAAGGTACAGGGAATAATTAAATTCCGATGAACTGTTCTTTCTTTATTTCCATCAATCGAACGTACAACATACACGGGCTGATAAGGGAATTTAGACACTACCGTATAAAGTTGATTTTCCCATCTATCAGCAATTTTCCGTCGACTACGAATACCTTTATTGGCTATCAAAACTTGACAACCATTTTCGAATTCGGACTCTTTTGCCTTCTTGTCGTAAGTCACTTTCTGCTTGAGTCGCGCTACATCGGCTGCACATGTCGCTTTAGCGTACGCTAATCCCAAGTTGTCTGCCAACTTGCGTACATAATCGTTTTCGATGTCCACGTTGTCCACAGGTTCTGTGTCGTCATTGATGCCGCATAGTAGGTCAACTGGAATTCGTGGTGACCGTCCAAACATAAGAGAAAATGGTGAAAATCCAGTGGACGAGTGGGATGTACAGTTGTATGCATGAGTCAACGCTTCTATGTGGTCTGCCCAATTTGGTTTCTGGTCAGGTTGTAGGGTGCCAAAGAGATCGCATAATTCTTGGATGATGGCCGCCTCAAAGCATTTGCCTTGGTCACTGTGTACTCTCTCGGGAAGTCCATAGTGTACCATAAACTTGCTCCACAAAGTCTTTGCTACCGTTCGTGTGTTGGGTACGCCTGCGCATATCTTGTAAAGTGATCTGTTATTACTAGGACGTTTTCAATTCCCCCTCTGGATGTTTCTAGGGTAAGAAAATCTATGCAGACAAGTTCAAGTGGGCGATACGTTTTGATTGACACTAAGGGAGCTCTGGTTTTAGGATCTGGAGTCTTCCGCAGTACACATCTGGTGCATCTATCGATGTAACAACGGATGTCCCTTCTCACACCAGGCCAAAAATACCTGTCGTTTACAAGGTCTAATATGCGTTTAAACCCCAAGTGTCCCATCTTGTCATGAACGCTTTCCAATACATGTTTCCAACTAGATTTAGGCAATATTAATTTTCTCTTATTTGAAAACTGGATAAACAAAACACCATCCTGTAGAAGTAAATCGTCCCATTTCGAAAGTAGTCGTCTGGCAAAGTGTGACTGTTTATCGGTGGTGCGACTAGACGGTTTAGTCCCTGCTGCTAACAATTCACATACTCTTCGAATAGATGGATCTGCATGCTGTGCTAGTCTGATGTCTTTAGATGGCGTATCTAATAAAGAAGTTGGTTCATCACCCTGTTGTTGGTGATGTTCGAGAGATGTTACGGTTTGTTGATTAGGACCTTGACTTTTAGTTGGCTGAGTGGCTTCATTAATTACAGTTCTAACATCCGACGTTACAGGGCATTCTGGCATATCGCTGCGCAGTGAATTATCAAATATCTGTTTGACCGCTTCTCTTGGGATTCTTGATAGCGCATCGGCATTATCGTTTTTACGCCCCGGACGGTAGATGATATTAAGGTTGCATTGTGACAGATCGTTTACCCATCGCTGGCCGTATGCATCAAGTTTTGCTTTACCCAGTACGTACGTTAAAGGATTATTGTCCGTAAACGCTGTGACGTCATGTCCATATACATAATGGCGGAACTTGTCAGTCACCGCCCAGTGTAAAGCCTTGAACTCCAACTTGTGTGCGGGATACCACTTCTCTGAATCCGACAATGTACGCTCGCAAAGGCAATCACTCTTTCCTTCCCATTTTGCACTTGTGCAAGGACTGCACCCAGACCATCAATAGAGGCGTCCGTTTGTAGAATGAATGGCAAAGTAAAGTTTGCGTAGACGAGGACAGGAGCAGACTTAATTCCATTTCGAAGGATTTCGAAACTGCGTTGGGCATCGGAGTTCCACTTAAATGGAGTTTGTCGCTGATCACGTTTTCCGCGTCGTACATCGCCTTCTAATAAGCTAAATAATGGTCTAGCGATTTTTGCATAGTCCTTAATGAAACGTCGGTAATAGCCAGTGAAACCGAGGAATCGGCGTATCTGTGGATACACCCTCTGCCGAAACACGATGGCCAAGATACTGTACTTCTTTCTTTAAAAAATGACACTTCGATTTCTTTAGCTTCAGACCGTGACTACGAAGGCGATCGAATACCGTTTGGAGTTTCCGTACATGTTCCTCGATTGTTTCGCTAAATACGATGATGTCGTCTAAGTATAGTAAAAGATCAGTAAAATTGAGATCGCCAAAAACAGTATTCATTAGGCGTTGAAATGATGCTGGAGCGTTCATAAGCCCAAAAGGCATACGGGTATACTCAAACAGCCCAAATGAAGTGGTGAATGCTGTCTTGCGTTGGTCTTGTTGGTCCATCTTAATTTGAAGGTACCCTAATGTCAAGTCTAGCCTGGAGAAATATTTTGCCTTGCCAATCCATTCCATCAGTATTTACATATGAAAACGCTAAATGCCATGGAGAGGAGATGCGTCGAATTCTCTGTATCAGGGAACGTCTCGTATTTCGTATAGAAGACATCTCGGCTAGCACGAATAGTATTGGTACCAATTAAACATGGAATATTCCGCCTTGCTGAAGTTGTGGACACAACCAAGGCCGGTACTGTCTTGATTTGTTCTCCAAGTACTTGCAGATCGATACACACTACTCCCTTGTGCGGAACAGCTTGTCCTCCGGCACCCTCAATAACGATATCCGTCGGTAGGATATATGCCTTTGATAAAACTGGGTGTTCTTCTACAAATTCAGAGGTGATGGTTGTTACTTGGGAGCCGGTGTCCAATAATGCTACACATTGTTTTCCACTCACATGCACCTGACATGTATTATGTAGTTTCTGTACTGGTAGTGGTAGCGACTGCGTTGATCGATCCGATGTGGTTGGTGTAACAGGTTGTGGATCGAATCCTGCCATTTGCAGTGGTGTCAGATTGCCTGTACTGGTTGAAGTCCGGCCGTTTGGCTCTGCGTCGTAAGGGGTAAGTTGCGGTGGGCTTGCCATCACTCTGCTAAAGTAACAGGACTGTGCTGGTTTGTTTATTTTAAGTATTAATATTAATTATTATTAATTTTACTATAGCTATTATTATAAGGCCTACTTTAATATCGTTCTACTCTGTAAACAAAATAATCTTTCTCATATAAATTTGCGTCTGTCCCGGGTTTCGCCACCAAAATTGTGTGACCAGCACAACTCGTACAAGACGAGGAATTATCTAAATTGGTTCAATCACTGGACACACAGAGAAGAAGACCGAATTTATAAAGCAAATCAATAAGTTTATTAAAATATAAAGACAAGTTAGAAATTAATAACAGTTCCAAGGTCACACGTTAACTCAGTCGAATTCGAGAACGATCTTACCAAGGAATTAAGTTAAGCACATAAATGATAATAAATTAGATATAAAGAAACTTTAACAAAATCGTTAATTAAAAGAAAAGTAGTTAATAATAATAAACGCTAGATAAACGTAAATAACGCACCAAATGCAATTAAAGTAAATTAAAGTTCTACAGTAAATATAATTATTAAAGTCTATATTATTGAGTTAATGTTAAATTACACGTTTTTGACGATAGATTTTACTAAACTATTTAAAACAAAACTTTTTATTAAAAAAACCAACACAGTCCTTCTACAATAGCAATTCGTTAGCTCCCATTAAGTTACGGTATGTTTTGTAAAAGGTATAATATGAGTGACGTCGGAAAATAAGTATATTTACAATGATGTTACCGGAGTGACGTCGGAAAATGAGTCAGCTGTATTTACAATGATGTTAACGGACCGACGGTTGAACTGTCACTGGCTTGGTCCCATCCCCAAGTGTTATTTGATAAGGGTGACTATGAGGGCGCAATGTAGTACTTATTCAAAATATACCATCACAGATGCATTTGCTTCAAAACAACAATGGGATTTATTGCTTTTACTATCCTGTTCCCAATCAGATTAGTATAGGCTTATTTATGAATTCTCGATTTTATATACTTTTGACGTCTACCCATCTCATCCACGATGCAAAGTGCTTGTAACTATTTTTACATATTCGCAATTTCCAATAATTCCATTTATTTATAATTTACATTTATGGTAAAAAATTAGTATTTTCAATGCCCAATAATATTATAGGCTTTTTGAATTGTGTGCTATAAGCCTACATTATTTCTTTTACATTTAAATTTTATAATATTTTACTTTCCTTGTGCTATAACTTTACATAGACTGTTGACATTATGCAGTGAAAATGTGAAACAACACATTGTTGAAAGTGGCACGTTTTATGGAAGGCAAACGCCGCCAAAAATACAATTACAAACACACAACGTACTAGCACAAACACACAACGTGTTAGCACAAACACGCAACGTACTAACTCAAACACACAACGTAGGCCAACACCGCCAAAAATACATTTACAAACACACAACGTACTAACTCAAGCCCACAACGTACTACGACGCAGGCCACAACCGCCAAAAATACAATAGGCATTTTTCGTTTTGACTACGCGGCCAGTCTACTACGAACTAATGGACCGTGACGGCAACGCCAAGACACTGTTCGCGTACTACATCAAGAGCTGTTTTCGTTTTTTTTAAGGCGACTACGACGACGCAGCACACGTACGTAGGCCTACGGAGGGGAGTTAGTCGACCATGGTTTTAATACCAGAGAACAATGTTCTCTTGTTTTATATTTGATCAAAATATATAAAAGCATAAGATACATTAAGAAAATGTTCGTCAATATAAGTTCATGATCAGTCTCAATGTCCAAATCTCACTGGTGGACGAATTATTTCGCGCAGATTGTACCTGTTCTCAAAATCTGACGAACTGTCTTCCGAAGAGCTATCTTCTGAACTGTACGTTGCAAATTCTGGCGGTGGAGGAATGAATGAAGTGAATTGTTCTGTCTCTTCGTCCCTTTCATCAAGGGTACTAAAGGTACAGGGAATAATTAAATTCCGATGAACTGTTCTTTCTTTATTTCCATCAATCGAACGTACAACATACACAGGCTGATCAGGGAATTTAGACACTACCGTATAAAGTTGATTTTCCCATCTATCAGCAATTTTCCGTCGACCATGAATACCTTTATTGGCTATCAAAACTTGACAACCATTTTCGAATTCGGACTGTTTTGCCTTCTTGTCGTAAGTCGCTTTCTGCTTAAGTCGCACTCCATCGGCTGTACGTGTTGCTTCAGCGTACGCTCTGTCTCTTATACACATCTAGATGTGTATAAGAGACAGATATAGTATATATATATTTGATTAGTTGATGTGATGTGTTTATGATGCTATGTACCAAATTTAATTTGAATACATTATATATATATCACTTCCAAAACTTTCAGATTCACAAGTAACCTAACGTATGCTTTAAAAGAATTGGATGAAGAATCAGATAGAAACAAAACTGTGGAATCTAAAACTAGACAAAAAGAGGAATCAAAAACAACAGATTGTCAATTTTTGGAAGATAAGAACTTGCCTTCAGTGGCCAAAGGTACTCGTTATCATTCTTCACATGTTGAACTAAAAAATACTAATGAAGGAGACTTTCCTGACATAAGTATGTCATGTTTATTTGATAACGTATGAAAAACGATTACCAATAATAAAACTGATATCCTTTGAAAGCTAAGTTGATGTTGCAGGGAGGTTGAAACGCCTTGCTGGAGGCAATTTGATCACGATACGCTACACTCACTGGAAACTGAAGGAGAATACATCAAGGTTTTATGAATACGCATAAATTTCTTTAAAATTATAGAATAAAATGAGCGTATGCAATTTCAATGAGAAATTGTTTTTTTTTCATTTTTGAGCCCTTTTTCTTTCAAAGAGTGAACTACATTCACATTGTTGTAGGTGTGCCTGGAATCCTAACTGGCCGTAAGGGTATAATAGACAAATTAGAAATGGCTGAAAGATGGGCGGCACGTTTCTACTAGCGACTGCAATAAATGCAATGTTACCTAAATTTTCACTGAATAATCTGAATTCACTCAAAACAACAATGGTGAACACTCTGACCGCTAGGGGTTTAAATCAGTAGTATCAGCCACCGCCAGACTTTTTAGTAAATTTTAACACTTTCGAAGCTTGGAGAGAATGCATATGTGATCAGATTGACATGTAGTGAATGCTACAAGAACTACAAACATTTTAGCTTTACAATGGTACAAGACACTTTATTTTAATCACAATCTGGAACCCATAACAGTAAAATGAAAATGACTCACATTTGCAGATTTACACAATTTCACACAACAAAGCTGAGATAATCGCTATTTCTTGAAAGTAAATGAATAATGCTCTACGCTAATGTAAACAAATGTGACCAGCACAACTCGTACAAGACGAGGAATTATCTAAATTGGTTCAATCACTGGACAGACAGAGAAGAAGTCCGAATTTATAAAGCAAATCAATAAGTTTATTAAAATATCAAAGACAATTAGATATAAAGAAACTTTAACAAAATCGTTAATTAAAAGTAAAGTAGTTAATAATAATAAATGCTAGGTAAACATAAATAACGCACCAAATGCAATTAAAGTAAATTAAAGTTCTACAGTAAGTATTAATATTAAAGTCTATATTATTGAGTTAATGTTAAATTAAACGTTTTTGACGACAGATATTATTAAACTATTTAAAACAAAACATTTTATTAAAAAAACCAACACAGTCCTTCTACAATATCAATTCGTTAGCTCCCATTAAGCTACGGTATGTTTTGTAAATGGTATTAAATGAGTGACGTCGGAAAATAAGTATATTTACAATGATGTTACCGGAGTGACGTCGGAAAATAAGTCAGCTGTATTTACAATGATGTTACCGGACCGACGGTTGAACTGTCACTGGCTTGGTCCCATCCCCAAGTGTTATTTGATGAGGGTGACTATGAGGGTACAATGTAGTACTTATTCAAATTATACCCTCACATACCCCCCTCCCCCCCGTTTACTATTGTTGCCCCAACAATTTAAAAAAACAATTAAGCAAATTGATACAATTAAAATATATAAAAGCATAAGATACATTAAGAAAATGTTCGTCAATATAAGTTCATGATCAGTCTCTCAATGTCCAAATCTCACTGGTGGACGAATTATTTCGCGCAGATTGTACCTGTTCCCAAAATCTGACGAACTGTCTTCCGAAGAGCTGTCTTCTGAACTGTATGATGCAAATTCTGGCGGTGGAGGAATGAATGAAGGGAATTGTTCTGTCTGTTCATCCCTTTCATCAAGGGTACTAAAGGTACAGGGAATAATTAAATTCCGATGAACTGTTCTTTCTTTATTTCCATCAATCGAACGTACAACATACACAGGCTGATCAGGGAATTTAGACACTACCGTATAAAGTTGATTTTCCCATCTATCAGCAATTTTCCGTCGACCATGAATACCTTTATTGGCTATCAAAACTTGACAACCATTTTCGAATTCGGACTGTTTTGCCTTCTTGTCGTAAGTCGCTTTCTGCTTAAGTCGCACTCCATCGGCTGTACGTGTTGCTTCAGCGTACGCTAATCCTAAGTTGTCTGCCAACTTGCGTACATAATCATTTTCGAAAATGGTGAAAATCCAGTGAAGAGTGGGATGTACAGTTGTATGCATGAGTCAATGCTTCTATGTGGTCTGCCCAATTTGGTTTCTGGTCAGGTTGTAGGGTGCCAAGCATGTTGAGCAAGGTACTATTGAAATGCTCAGTCATTGCATTCTCTTCGGATGTTACGGAGTGGTTCTGCTTTTCGCAATTCCAAAGAGATCGCATAACTCTTGGATGATGGCCGCCTCAAAGCATTTGCCTTGGTCACTGTGTACTCTCTCGGGAAGTCCATAGTGTACCATAAACTTGCTCCACAAAGTCTTTGCTACCGTTCGAGCAGTCTGATCACGCGTTGGGTACGCCTGCGCATATCTTGTAAAGTGATCTGTTATTACTAGGACATTTTCAATTGATGGATGTTTCTAGAGTAAGAAAATCTATGCAGACAAGTTCAAGTGGGCGATACGTTTTGATTGACACTAAGGGAGCTCTGGTTTTAGGATCTGGAGTCTTCTGCAGTACACATCTGGTGCATCTATCGATGTAGCAACGGATGTCCCTTCTCACACCAGGCCAAAAATACCTGTGGTTTACAAGGTCTAATATGCGATCGAACCCCAAGTGTCCCATCTTTTCATGAACGCTTTCTAATACATGTTTCCGACTAGATTTAGGCAATATTAATTTTCTCTTATTTGAAAACTGGATAAACAAAACACCATCCAGTAGAAGTAAATCGTCCCATTTCGAAAGTAGTCGTCTGGCAAAGTGTGACTGTTTATCGGTGGTGCATCTAGACGGTTTAGTCCCTGCTGCTAACAATTCACATACTCTTCGAATAGGTGGGTCTGCATGCTGTGCTAATCTGATGTCTTTAGATGGCGTATCTAATGAAGAAGTTGGTTCATTACCCTGTTGTTGGTGATGTTCGAGAGATATTACGGTTTGTTGATTAGGACCTTGACTTTTAGTTGGCTGAGTAGCTTCATCAATTACAGTTCTAACATCCGACGTTACAGGGCATTCTGGCATATCGCGGCGCAGTGAATTATAAAATATCTGTTTGACCGCTTCTCTTGGGATTCTTGATAGCGCATCGGCATTATCGTTTTTACGCCCCGGACGGTAGATGATATTAAGGTTGCATTGTGACAGATCGTTTACCCATTGCTGGCCGTGTGCATCAAGTTTTGCTTTATCCAGTACGTACGTTTAAGGATTATTGTCCGTAAACGCTGTGACGTCATGTCCATATACATAAACGCGGAACTTGTCGGTCACCGCCCAGTGTAAAGCTTTGAACTCCAACTTGTGTGCGGGATACCTCTTCTCTGAGTCCGACAATACACAACTCGCAAAGGCAATCACTCTTTCCTTCCCATTTTGCATTTGTGCAAGGACTGCACCCAGACCGTCAATAGAAGCGTCCGTTTGTAGAATGAATGGCCAAGTAAAGTCAGCGTAGGCGAGGACAGGAGCAGACTTAATTCCATTTCGAAGGATTTCGAAACTGCGTTGGGCATTGGAGTTCCACTTAAATGGAGTTTGTCGCTGATCACGTTTTCCGCGTACTTCTAATAAGCTAAATAATGGTCTAGCGATTTTTGCATAGTCCTTAATGAAACGTCGGTAATAGCCAGTGAAACAGAGGAAACGGCGTACTTCCTTCCTTCCGCTTGGAATTGGCCAGTTTTCCACGGCAGCTACCTTGTCAGGATCTGTGGATACACCCTCCGTCGAAACACGATGAAAGAAAGAAGATACTGTACTTCCTTCTTTAAAAAATGACATTTCGATTTCTTTAGCTTCAGACCGTGACTACGAAGGCGATCGAATACCGTTAGGAGTTTCCGTACATGTTCCTCGATTGTTTCGCTAAATACGATGATGTCGTCAGTAGAGTAAAAGATTGGTAAAATTGAGATCACCAAAAACAGTATTCATTAGGCGTTGAAATGATGCTGGAGCGTTCATAAGCCCAAAAGGCAAACGGGTATACTCAAACAGCCCAAATGGAGTGGTGAATGCTGTCTTGTGTTGGTCTTGTTGGTCCATCTTAATTTCGAAGGTACCCTGATGTTAAGTCTAGACTGGAGAAATATTTTGCCTTGCCAAGGGAATCGAGACTTTCCTCTATTTCTCGGTAAGGGGAACGCGTCACGAACAGTCTTGGAGTTTAATTTTCGGTAATCGACACATAGACGCATGCTCCCGTCTTTCTTTCGGACGACAACAATAGGTGAGGCGAATGGGCTTTGACTTGCCTGAATAACTCCTACTTGCTGTAAATCCTTCACGTGGTCGCGAACTTCATTAAAGTCGGATGGGGGAATGCATCTGTACGGCAATCGAAACGGCGTTTGGTCTATTAGTGGGATTCTGTTCACCACAGTATTAGTAAAACCTATGTCATTGGGATCACTGGAAAAGATGTCGCTGTTCTTCTCTAATATGCGTCGAATGACATCCGGTTGACGGTCGGGATCGTCAGAAACTTCCTCGTCACCGCTAGTAGCAGAAGCCTCCATACTGAGACAGACATCTTTCGCATCACCACCTTCAATGTTAGATATTATAGCCAGGTTAGCTATACACGTACGTCGCCACAGTTTGATTGGTTGAGATGAGGAGTTGACAACGGTAACTGGTACGCAACCTTTCGAAACTTCAACAACACTACACCCGACTATCAAATCATGGTCACGTGAGTTAACATTGTTAGTAATTTGTTCGACGAGTCCAGTAAATTCCCTGTCTTTGACCACTCTGGGTGCCTTGGCTGATACTACTCGTTGAGTACCAGGTGGTATTGCGATTGGGCGTCGCCCCATGTACTTGATCATGCCAATGTTTCCATATTTGGTCGCCAAATCCATTCCATCAGTATTTACATATGAAAACACTAAATGCCACGGAGAGGAGATGCGTTGAATTCTCTGCATCAGGGAACGCCCGTAATTTCGTATGGAAGACATCTCGGCTAGCATGAATAGCATTGGTACCAATTAAACATGGAATATTCCACCTTGCTGAAGTTGTGGACACAAACACGGTACTGTCTTGATTTGTTCTCCAAGTACTTGCAGATCGATACACACTACTCCCTTGTGCGGAACAGCTTGTCCTCCGGCACCCTCAATAACGATATCCGTCGGTAGGATATCTGCCTTTGATAAAACTGGGTGTTCTTTTACAAATTTAGAGGTGATGGCTGTTACTTGGGAGCCGGTGTCCAATAATGCTACACATTGTTTTCCACTCACATGCACCTGACATGTATTTGCGTGCCCAACTATCTTGGGGCCCTCGTCGTCACTTGATTCACTGTCCAAAATATTTAAAATCAGGCTCTCTTTCTCCGCACCCACTGGTTGTCCCTCAAAAGCAGATGATACTAGTTTAAAGACTTGGAGCAGTATTGAGCAATATGTCCGTACTCGTGGCAGTTATAACACCTCACTTTTGATTGGTTAAATTTTGGTTGAGGTTGTGATGGCGGAGATTGATACCTCTGATTCTTCTGAAATTGTGGGGGAGGTTGCGATGGCATGGGTTGGTTCCTCTGGTTCATCGACGACTGATTACTGGTGAATTGCCCTGCTATTTCTAGTTGATGTAACCTATCCGATGAAACACGCTGATTGTCAATTAAACTTTTCGTAGCCTCAAGTTGCTTTTCCAGTGCAACTGTCAATCTATCAATCTGAGATGATGTGCTGGGTTTCTCAACTGTTTGGTTTAGTGAAAACGCCCTGCTGTCTGCGAGGATCTGTTCCTCTGAAATTATTCGCAATTCACGTCGCAACTGCGAGAACAGCATATCTCTTGGTTTCATAGGGGCCAGTCTCTCTCGAACCTTCAGATCAGTTAACCCAAACATGAACTGGGTGGTAAGCATTTGGTCACGATCGTCAAACGTCGATTTTACCCGTTCTGCCTTTCTCAGCATGGCCTCCAACGCAATAGCAAAATCAGCCGCACTCTCTCCTCTTCTTTGAACGCTAGCGTAGAAATTAGCCATCGGTGACATTGTGGGGTTAGCCTCGCCATACTCTAGAGTCAATTCTTCAAACGCAGCCATTGCTTTGTTGCCGGCGTCGCCCCTTGCTTCTAGATTTAGTACTAAATCTCTGGGTCTACCTTGTGTATGATATATGACCTCACCATAGGCAGCGCTATCACTTAACTTCTTTGACTCTATAAGGAACCGCATGTCCCTTATCCAGTCTTCTATTTGGTGGCCATTGTTGCAACCCGAAAACGTGGCAACCGACTTTGTTTGGTGCGTAGTAATAACTCCAGAGCTTGGAAGTTGCGACCTATCTTTCCCATCCGAGTAGTTTAGTTTCTGTACTGATAGTGGTAGCGACAGCGTTGATCGATCCGATGTGGTTGGTGTAACAGGTTGTGGATCGAATCCTGCCATTTGCAGTGGTGTCAGATTGCCTGTACTGGTTGAAGTCCGGCCGTTTGGCTCTGCATCGTAAGGGGTGAGTTGCGGTGGGCTTGCCATCACTCTGCTAAAGTATCAGGACTGTGCTGGTTTGTTTATTTTAAGTATTAATATTAATCATTATTAATTTTACTATAGCTATTATTATAAGGCCTACTTTAATATCGTTCTACTCTGTAAACAAAATAATCTTTCTCATATAAATTTGCGAGAGGTTCCCGGGTTTCGGCACCAAAATTGTGTGACCAGCACAACTCGTACAAGATGAGGAATTATCTAAATTGGTTCAATCAATGGACAGTCAGAGAAGAAGACCGAATTTATAAAGCAAATCAATAAGTTTATTAAAATATCAAAGACAAGTTAGAAATTAATAACAGTTTCAAGGTCACACGTAAACTTAGTCGAATTCGAGAACGATCTTACCAAGAAATTAAGTTAAGCACATAAATGATAATAAATTAGATATAAAGAAACTTTAACAAAATTGTTAATTAAAAGTAAAGTAGTTAATAATAATAAACGCTAGGTAAACGTAAATAACGCACCAAATGCAATTAAAGTAAATTAAAGTTCTACAGTAAGTATTATTATTAAAGTCTATATTATTGAGTTAATGTTAAATTACACGTTTTTGACGATAGATATTAT